TGGGCGGGGGAATCCCCCCACCACCACCCCCACCACCACCCCCCCCCCACCATCCTCCCCCCACCACACCCAGTCACCTCTCTATCTGAAACCGCAAAACCCGCTCGCTACACGCGCCGGCTTGCAGCGAGAAGATTCCTTCACAAGGCGGGAGGATGGCCGAGATGGTATCGCTATCCCTCCCCCCCCCCCATCGTGCACAGGATTGCAGCGGTGAGATGATACCCCCACCCCGCACAAAGACAAAGATCCCCCGTGTAGCCTTCACGGAGTGTTGGGGCAAGTGGCGTTAGTGAGCAGTGACCTGTGAAGGCCGGCGCAGCACCCGCATACATACCCACGTACCCACCTAGGTACCCATCCACATACCCACGTACCCACCTAGGTACCCATCCACATACGCACGTACCCACCTAGGTACCCATCCACATACCCACGTACCCACCTAGGTACCCACCCACATACCCACGTACCCACCTAGGTACCCATCCACATACCCACGTACCCACCTAGGTACCCATCCACATACGCACGTACCCACCTAGGTACCCATCCACATACCCACGTACCCACCTAGGGACTCATCCACATACGCACGTACCCACCTAGGTACCCATCCACATACCCACGTACCCACCTAGGTACCCATCCACATACCCACGTACCCACCTAGGTACCCACCCACATACCCACGTACCCACCTAGGTACCCACCCAAATACCCACGTACCCACCTAGGTACCCATCCACATACCCACGTACCCACCTAGGGACTCATCCACATACGCACGTACCCACCTAGGTACCCATCCACATACCCACGTACCCACCTAGGTACCCATCCACATACCCACGTACCCACCTAGGTACCCACCCACATACCCACGTACCCACCTAGGTACCCACCCACATACCCACGTACCCACCTAGGTACCCACCCACATACCCACGTACCCACCTAGGTGCCCACCCACATACCCACGTACCCACATAGGTACCCACCCACATACCCACCTAGGTATCCACCCACATACCCACGTACCCACCTAGGTACCCACCCACATACCCACGTACCCACCTAGGTACGCACCCACATACCCACGTACCCACCTAGGTACGCACCCACATACCCACGTACCCACCTAGGTACCCACCCACATACCCACGTACCCACCTAGGTACGCACCCACATACCCACGTACCCACCCAGGTACCCACCCACATACCCACGTACCCACCTAGGTATCCACCCACATACCCACGTACCCACCTAGGTACCCACCCACATGTGTACGTACCAACCTTGGGCGGGTGGCCGGCACCACGCCCGGACCGCCTTTGTCTCCCCAGTGGCGATGTTTTGATTTTTTAGACACCGCACCAGGTGCTCATTTGAGGCTGAGTCGACCCAAGAGAGGGCCAAGACCGGTTAAGATAATCGCTGGTGTTGGTGGCCATGAGCGGGAATCGAATTCGGGTGGCCATGTTCGTGGCCCACCACCACCACCCCAACCACCACCCCACTACCCTACCCAATCACCCACCCACCACCACCCACCACCACCCCACCCCACCCACCACCTTGCACCCACCCACCACCACACCCCACCCCACCCACCACCACCACCCCACCCACCACCACCCCACCCACGGTGAACACGATGCGTTGATCAATATTGACGCTGCTCACCGAGTCGAGGCGCGATTTGCCCCAAACACAACAAAAAAACGAAAATCCCGCACAGAACCCGGACATTGGATGAGACCGCATCCGGACGAGGAGGCCGCGCCTGGCCTCCCCCCTCGCCTGGCCTCCCCCCTCGCCTGGCCTCCCCCCTCGCCTGGCCTCCCCCCTCGCCTGGCCCTGGCCTCCCCCCTCGCCGTGCACACGAAGCCGCCGGTTCGCTCCGCACGTCCAACCTCCCTCGCTGCATGGCCGGCACGCGGAGCTAAAACCCCTCGGTATTTTCCGTGCCACGGATTCACCATCACCGCCCCCCCCCCCCCCGCCCCGTCTCGTCCCTCCTGCGTGCAGCCACGTGGGGTCAGACGCGGGGTCAGAGGCGGGGTCAGAGGCGGGGTGAGACGCGGGGTCAGAGGCGGGGTCAGAGGAGGGGTCAGACACGGGGTCAGATGCGGGGTCAGAGGCGGGGTCAGAGGCAGGCGTCAGAGGCGGGGTCAGACGCGGGGTCAGACGCGGGGTCAGACGTGGGGTCAGACGCGGGGTCAGACGTGGGGTCAGACGTGGGAGTTCACAGTTTATCGACTCCCCCCCCCACACTCGCAATCTCAGCCCCCCCCAAAAATATATATATACCTGTATTATTGATGATATTGGTCGCTAAAGCCTACGTGTTAAACTAACAGATCGTACGTTACAAGGTTGCGAGCCTAAAACTCGGCGGCCACTTAAAATATGGTGCCGTTTTGGATTAAGTTAGCGGCGGTCATCCCACTTGAGGGAGCAGAACACTGATACCCTTGCCACGGCAAGATGTGGAATCGCCACATCTGGGCTCGGGGTGTCACAGCGCCTGGCATTCTACGACCGCCGTGGGAGACCCACAAACTTACGCGGAGACCCATGGACGAAAACCTGGAGCCTCACACAAAAGGGCCCCCAGTGGCCCGGCTGAGCGCGGAGAATCTTCCGCACGGATCCTGTTGCAGCACAGCAAGCGGCAGCCGCGACCCACAGATCCCGACGACGATTTGGGCCTGGCTCCTTCGTTGCACCGAGAGACTCGGCCGGGACGGTTTACCAATCCTCGATTCGTTTATCATCTCCCCTCCCCCCCCCCGGGAATCGTTTCCAGGCGGACGGTGGCCACGGCGCACAGATAGACGTCTCACGGTGCACGTCGTCGTCGTCATCGTCGTCGTCATCGTCGTCGTCATCGTCGTCGTCATCTTCATCATCGTCGTCGTCATCTTCATCATCATCGTCGTTATCACCATCATCATTGTCGTCATCTTCGTCGTCATCTTCGTCATCATCATCGTCGTCATTATCGTCGTCATCATCGTCGTCGTCATCATCGTCGTCGTCATCATCGTCGTCGTCATTGTCATCATCGTCGTCGTCGTCATTGTCATCATCGTCGTCATCTTCATCATCGTCGTCGTCATCTTCATCATCATCGTCGTTATCACCGTCATCATTGTCATCATCGTCGTCATCTTTGTCATCGTCGTCGTCATCTTCATCATCATCATCGTCGTCATTATCGTCGTCATCATCGTCGTCATCATCATCGTCGTCGTCATCGTCGTCGTCGTCATCGTCGTCGTCGTCATCGTCGTCGTCGTCATCGTCGTCGTCGTCATCGTCGTCATCATCTTCGTCATCATCGTCGTCATCATCGTCGTCCTCATTGTCATCATCGTCGTCGTCGTCATTGTCATCATCGTCGTCGTCATCTTCGTCGTTATCACCATCATCTTTGTCATCATCGTCATCATCATCATCATCGTCGTTATCACCATCATCTTTGTCATCATCGTCGTCGTCGTTGTCATCGTCGTCGTTGTCGTAGTCGTCGTAGTCGTCCTCATCGTCGTCATCATCGTCGTCGTCGTCGTTATCATCGTCATCATCTTCGTCATCATCGTCATCATCATCGTCGTCGTCATCATCGTCATCATCATCACCGCCGCCGCTGTGCGCTCGAGATGGCGAAGGCAGCCGCCGCCGAGTAATCTCAAGCGGCAACTTCCTGCGGGGAGTTCAAGCATCTCCAATCGAGAGGCAACAAGCGGTGACATCGTCAGGACCCCCCCCCACCTCCACGTGTGTTTTTGCTGCTATGCTGCAGCGGTGCGTGTGCAGTGGCAGCGCCGATACGTCCACACGTCCACACGTCCACACGTGAACACGTCCACACGTCCACACGTGCACACGTGCACACGTGCACACGTGCACACGTGCACACGTGAACACGTGAACACGTCCACAAGTCCACACGTCCACACGTGCACACGTTCGCACGTCCACACGTGCACACGTGCACACGTTCGCACGTCCACACGTGCACACGTTCACACGTCTGCACGTTCGCACGTGCACACGTGCACACATCCACCCATCCACACATCCACCCGTCCACCCGTCCACACGTCCACACGTGCACACGTTCACACGTCCACACGTCCACACGTCCACCCGTCCACACGTCCACACGTGAACACGTCCACACGTGCGATTCGCGCGAGGGCAGCGAGTCGATGGCTTTCCGGCACGCGTCTCGTGGAGCAACCGACTTCCGGATCACCCACGGCTTCGTTGCGAAATCCATATATATACACACACACACACAAAAAATACTCAACTCTAAGCTATTTTCTATTTTACCAGGTAAGGCCACACCCGAGCTATGCAGGTGCTTTTTCAGAAACGACCGGGCCACAGATTGATAGCTCAACGAAGCGGCTCGTCGTCATCAGCACGTGGGAATTCATCGCAGCGGACAAACGCTAAACACTCGATGTCGACTCGAAACGTGGAGGGGGGGTGGAAAAAAAACCGGAGGAGCCGGAGAAAAATAAACCACACACAGGTTAAACAAAAAAAAAATCAAAATATATACAGCAGGGCATCGTCAGGGTCTGGATCGAACCCACGGTCTCCTCCATACCAGGCGAGGTAGTTAACATCTCCAAGCCACCGTGATGATGACGATGAGAGAGAGAGAGAGATACACAACCTCTAAATACACAGCAGGCACCAGGGTCAGGATCGAACCCACGACCTCCTGCATACCAGGCGAGGTAATCAACACCTCCTAGGCCGCCGTGATGATGATGATGATGAGTGACACACAAACTCCAAATATACAGCAGGGCATCATCAGGGTCAGGATCGAACCCACGACGTCCTGCATAACAAGCGAGGTAGTTAACATTTCCGAGCCACCACGGTACCCCAACAACAACAACAAGAACAACAACAACAGCGACAGCGGCAACGCCCGGCGGGGGCGAAGGGGAGCGGCCTCGACTCACCGCCACTTTGAAGGGGGACGACGCGCCGATGCCCTCAATGCCCAGGCTCTTGTCGGTCATCGCTGACCCAGAGCCACTGTGCCTCCTCGGGGCCGACAGGGGATCTGTGGGTGGGGGGTGGGGGAGGGGGGGGGGCAGGGCAGGGCAGGGCAATGGAGGGCGTGAAGAGAAACGGCATGGGTCGATCAATTTTATTCGCAGGCGCCGAATTCATCCATTCGAAAATTCAGTCGCTCGACTCGTTCATTCGATCCGTGCCTTCCTGGGCTCCGTTCGGTCAAGCGTCGGGATTCCGGCATTTGGGCCACCGGATGGCCGTCGCGTCGTTGGTTGCAGCCGGTTCATTCATTTCGTTCGCTCGGTTTCGTTCATTCGCCGAGGGACGGTTGGCTACGTACAACATACGTGCAGAGAATCCTTCATTCAATTCATTCACTAAAAACATTTCCCCTTGATTCAATCTGCCCGTTCAATTTCTTCCATGGAATTCCTTCCGTTGAATTCCTTATTTTCAATTCGTTCCATCCAATTCCTTCAATTCAATGCCTTCAATTCAATTCCTTCCATTCAATGAAATCCGCTGCATTTAAATCCGCGTCACACGATGCTGCGGAATCGTCGGCAATACCTTGCGATATTGGGATGCCACTGGGAAGCTTTTCACTTTTGAATTTAAATAATTTAGGTTGGAGACAAGAAATAAATAATTTCTTTAGAACTGATTTGCGTCTGTTAGGTTTATTTTACTTTTTTCCTCGCACCTCCGATTAGCGCGGTTGGCTTATGCACAGTGGTGCTAAAGACGTTCAACGTACAGGCCCAGCCGCGGTGAGCTCCCTGAGAGTGAGAGAGAGAGATACACACGCAGACCTACTGGGGTTGGAACCTAGGATATCAGGGGCAGTAGGTCAGTGTCATCGACACATTCAATACGAACCCCCTTGAGACTTAGAGAAAGAGAGAGATAGCCAGACCCGGGGCTTGAATCCTGCATCTCAACCCAAGGCCGTAATTATAATAAATATTGGGGGGGGAGGGGAAACCCCCCCCAATTTTCAAATATTCTCAAAATGTCCCCCCCCCAATATATTGCTACAAACAATATTTAAAAAAAAAATAATTGCTATGCTATGTAAATAAACACAACAATTTTCTCAACCTTGGCCACAATATCTGGATTTGTCTTCATATAAATCAATGCGTAGATTTCTGTTTATATGATTGTGGTTATGGTTGCACTTTATTAATCCCTAATCTCAGCCATTACATACAATGAAACAAGAAAAGGCAAAAAAGAAAAAAACAGAGCAATGTAATACAATAACACTATTAGACATTATTGAAAATAATAAGAAAAAGTCCATCCTATGTGTTAGTGAATTTTTTATATTTTAGGCAGGAAATTCGTTTTTTTTTTTTCTGGGGGGGGGGGGCGTCCAGACACCCTGGAAGATTTGGTCCCCCCCAATGTTGACTCCATGACGACGGCCTTGTCTCAACCCCTCGGAGATGGAGAGAGAGAAACAGCCAGAGAGACCCTTACCCGGGGCTTGAACCCTGCATCTCAACCCCTAGGAGATGGAGAGAGAGAGAGAGAAACAGCCAGAGAGACCCATACCTGGGGCTTGAACCCTGCATCTCAACCCCTAGGAGATGGAGAGAGAGAGAGAAACAGCCAGAGACACCCATACCCGGGGCTTGAACCCTGCATCTCAACCCCTCGGAGATGGAGAGAGAGAGAGAGGGAGAGAAACAGCCAGAGACACCCATACCCGGGGCTTGAACCCTACATCTCAACCCCTAGGAGATGGAGAGAGAGAGAAACAGCCAGAGACACCCATACCCGGGGCTTGAACCCTGCATCTCAACCCCTCGGAGATGGAGAGAGAGAGAGAGAAACAGCCAGAGATACCCATACCCGGGGCTTGAACCCTGCATCTCAACCCCTAGGAGATGGAGAGAGAGGGAGAAACAGCCAGAGATACCCATACCCGGGGCTTGAACCCTGCATCTCAACCCCTCGGAGATGGAGAGAGAGAGAGAGAAACAGCCAGAGATACCCATACCCGGGGCTTGAACCCTGCATCTCAACCCCTCGGAGATGTAGAGAGAGAAACAGCCAGAGATACCCTTACCCGGGGCTTGAACCCTGCATCGAAACCCCTAGGAGATGTAGAGAGAGAGAGAGAAACAGCCAGAGACACCCATACCCGGGGCTTGAACCCTGCATCTCAACCCCTAGGAGATGGAGAGAGAGAGAAACATCCAGAGACACCCATACCCGGGGCTTGAACCCTGCATCTCAACCCCTAGGAGATGGAGAGAGAGAAACAGCCAGAGAGACCCATACCCGGGGCTTGAACCCTGCATCTCAACCCCTAGGAGATGGAGAGAGAGAGAAATAGCCAGAGATACCCTTACCCGGGGCTTGAACCCTGCATCTCAACCCCTAGGAGATGGAGAGAGAGAAACATCCAGAGACACCCATACCCGGGGCTTGAACCCTGCATCTCAACCCCTAGGAGATGGAGAGAGAGAAACATCCAGAGATACCCATACCCGGGGCTTGAACCCTGCATCTCAACCCCTAGGAGATGGAGAGAGAGAAACAGCCAGAGATACCCATACCCGGGGCTTGAACCCTGCATCTCAACCCCGAGGAGATGGAGAGAGAGAGAGAGAAACAGCCATAGACACCCATACCCGGGGCTTGAACCCTGCATCTCAACCCCTAGGAGATGGAGAGAGAGGGAGAAACAGCCAGAGATACCCATACCCGGGGCTAGAACCCTGCATCTCAACCCCTAGGAGATGGAGAGAGAGAGAGAGAGAAACAGCCAGAGACACCCATACCCGGGGCTTGAACCCTGCATCTCAACCCCTAGGAGATGGAGAGAGAGAAAGCCAGAGACAGCCCAGACCCAGGGACTTAATAACCCCTGGATTTCAACAGTGCCACGAACTTCGTGTCTCTGACACGACCATCATGAACCCGGGCCCTTCTTAGACACCAATCGTAATCGATAAAAAATATATATGATGTATTGACCTTTACGAGCAATTTGGCCAGCCGGCGAACTCGCTCACTCTCTCCCGCTCTCTCTCTTTCGCTCTCTCTGGAGCCGAGAGAAAAGCGCGCAACCCGAGGGCTTCAAAACGATCACGGATGAGGAGGGGGGGGGGAGGGGCGGAAATCCCCGCCACCCCAACGAGGCACGTGGCTCCAAAAAACTCAGCAGACTCCGATCGACGCCTCCACACGGGAGGCCCGGTGAATGAGGTCGTGGGTTCCATCCCGAACCTGCTGTGCATTTGGAGTCTGCGTGCCTCTCTCTTTCTCCCTCTCTCTCTCTCTCTCCCCGTGGTCGCGTGGATTTTTATCCCGAGTCCCGCCGGTTTCTCCCCCCTCCACATCTAGAGTGAAAATCACCACGCGTTTAGAGTGTTTGGCAGGCGTTGCCACAAGATGATAATAATAATAGTAGGCCACTTCGTTGAGCTATCACTTGTGATAGCCAGGTCGGGGACATCCATAAATGACGTCACGCACCTAGGGTGTGGGGGGGGGGGGTCAGACATTTGTGACGATGTGTGACGAGGGGGGGGGGGGGGGGGGGAGGTTTGAAAAATGTGACGTCACGTCAAAATGCGCAACTTTAAATAAATATAGACAACACGTTCTACTTAATTAAATATCATTTTTTATAAATGTTTTCTCCTACAACATCAGAGTGCAGCGCCACATCAAATACGCGCCACAATGACAATAGTTTAAAGCGATTTGAAGCATGTTTTCTTTTAGGGGGGGGGGGGGCAGAGCTTCGTGACGTCATATTTGAGGGGGGGGTCTGACTTATTGTGACGCCGTGTGACGAGGGGCGGTTCAAAAATCGTCCAAAAACGCGTGACGTCATTTATGGACGGCCCCCTACACCCGGCGAAAATAAAACGTGTTTTAGTTTGTATATTATTCGTACTCATCCAGCAGTGGATTGACGGTCGCGTGTACACGTTCTGTGTGTGCGTGTGTTGTATCACCACGTGGGGAGCGGTGGTGTAGCGGGGTCAGCGCTACGAACCTGGCGACCCGAGTTTGGGTCCCGCTCAACGGCCACAATCGGTGACGATTATCTGAACGTCATATTTGAAAATCGCGTGACGTAATTTATGGACAGCCCCGTAGCTTCTGATAAAAGTTACATAGTTCTGTGGGGCCTTACCTGGTGAAATCTAAATAGTTTAGTTCGAGAGAACGGAGAACAGACGCAAGAGGCCATCCACCCCCTCTCGTGCCGTCCGGCCTTCATTGATGCTCGCTAACAGCACTTTCCCCAACAATCTGTTAATGCTACATGGGGGATCTTTGTCTTTGGAGCAGTGGTACGGCCGCGTGAACTATCTTCCATCGTGGCTAAACCTCCACATCGCCCCATAGACTCACGCAGAGAAAAACAGACGCGTATAGATATCCACTCACTCACACAGAGACCCACTCACACAGAGACCCACACACTCACACAGACCCACAGACTCACACAGAGACCCACAGACTCACACAGAGACCCACAGACTCACACAGAGACCCACAGACTCACACAGAGACCCACAGACTCACACACTCACACAGAGACCCACCCACTCACACAGAGACCCACAGACTCACACAGAGACCCACGCACTCAGACAGAGACCCACAGACTCACACAGACCCACAGACTCACACAGAGACCCACAGAACCACACAGACCGACAGACTCACACAGAGACCCACGTACTCACACAGAGACCCACGCACTCACACAGAGACCCACAGACTCACACAGACCCACAGACTCACACAGAGACCCACAGACTCACACAGTGACCCACAGACTCACACAGAGACCCACAGACTCACAAAGTGTGACCCACGGACTCACACAGAGTCCCACAGACTCGCACGGAGACCCACAGACTCACAAAGTGTGACCCACGGACTCACACAGAGACCCACAGACTCACACAGAGACCCACAGACTCACACAGAGACCCACAGACTCACACAGACGCACATACTCACACAGAGACCCACAGACTCACACAGAGACCCACAGACTCACACAGA